GGAAGAAAGACCTGGCAATCTGCTTCCATAAAGATTACAGCCAAGAAAACCCTAAGGGGCAGTTCTACTCTGTAACACAGGGGTCACTGAGCTTTAGTCGACTAGAAGGCAATGGGTTCGTTTGTTTTTTTTTCAGTTAATAATAGTAATGTATCGATATGGGTTCATTAATTGTAACAAATGTACCATACCAATGTAAAATGTTTATTTATAACGGGGAAACTGGGTGTGAGGTATATGGGAACTCACTGTGTGATCCTTCTCAATTTTTCTGTAAATTTAAAACTGTTCTAAAAAATATAAAGTTTGTCAATATAAAAATGGGCACCTATTATTTTTAAAATTATTTTTACAATTGAAGAACGTGCAGCTGTTCTCTTTATTTTATTATCTCCCCATATATTTCTCTTTGCTTCTGAGTGTTACAATCTCTGTGTTAGCCAAACACGCCAAATCTGCCCTTCCCCCCTCTCGGCACTTCCATCCTTAGAATATGAGTTTTTGGGGGACAAAGATGCATCTTCCAAACCAGCTTTATTTCCTTTTCCTTCTCTTCCACTTCGTTCCTCATTCTCCTTCCTCTCTTCTACAATTTGGCAAAGAGCCTTTTCACAAAGCTGGACTCAGTGATAATCCTGGCACCTTGAATTGGTTCAGGGTTCTATACTCTACCAAGCATGTTTCCCTAGGTGAATTTCACCTTTCACCCCAGCTGTGGGAAGGGAGTATTATCATTATTCCCATTTTACTGAAGAGGAGACTGAGGCTCAGAGAGGTTGGGTAACTTGCCCAAAGCCACACAGGCTAGTAGGCAGTGGAGGGAGCAGGGACTGGAAATGGGACGTTGCTTTTCCCTTGGATCTGCCCTCTTCCCCTCTCCACTTTCTGCGGAGCTGGGCTGTGGGGAGGGCACCTGGAAGCCCAACACCTCCAGCTGGTGTTCTGGGGGGCCCCCGCATAACTCTGTGGGGGTGGAGGCGAGGTGACCCATTTCCGAGGGAGCCCCGAGAACACTGGCTGGGTTACCATGAAATGCAGCTTGTTACTTCAACAGTTTTGACAGCGCTGGCAGCCTCGGTCTCTCCCCCAGGAAGCAGGGGCCTGCCGGGTACCCGGACCAGTGCCTTCCAGGTGCCGATACCTGTGAGCTGTGAGGGGCGTGGGGGACAGAGGAGAAGGCTCGGCAGCGGGCCAGTGAAAACCACCAGTGGTCAGAGGAGACAGACTTTGACTTTCCTGGGCCCCTGGGGGTCATTCCAAGTGGTAATCACCTGTAAGAATACGGTTCTCCCAGCAATTACAGAGCCAGATTTAGTGGCAGGCCCCATGCAGGGCTGCCCAGCGAGGCTCAGTCTGGTCTCCATCCCCACCCCCAGATGGGCAGATTTTTCTGGGCGGAGTCGATTCCTAGCACAGCCACGTTCTGCACCATGGATGGCTCATTGTCAGAGCAGTTCTGCACACGTGGTTTGGATTGCCTTGCTGAAGCTTCGAAGCTGAGCCTTCTGCGAAACAGGGTGGGAGTGTGTGGATTAACCACTGCTGGGCAGCACAGTCAAGGCTAGCAGGGGGTTGGGAAAGGTCCAAGTCCAAGGATGTCACTCACTCAGGTTCACCAGGGAAACAGAGTGAGTCTCAGATGGGAACGAATTAGGTCTGGAAAGGGAATTTTGCTTTGAGAATTTCACCTCCGTATTTCTCAGCTCAGCCTTTTGGTAAATCAGAGTGCGCATGGGTTACGAAAAGAACAGAGGATTTTAAATCAGATCAGGGTTCATTCCTTTGACAATTATTAGCTGTGTGGCCTTACATGTGACCTCCCCTCTCTGTGCCTCGGGTTTTCTTATCTGCATAGATAGACAGACAGACGGCTGCTGTCAAGTCGACTCCAACTCATGGCGACCTTATGTACCACATAAAGCTGCCCGGTCCTGCGTCACCTCGCGATCGCCGGCACCTTTGAGTCTGCTGTTGGGACTGCTGTGCCAACCATCTCACCGAGGGACTCCTCGCCCTCGCTGACCCTCTACCTCACCAAACATGATGTCCTCCTCCAGCAACTGATCCCTCCTGACAACATGTCCAAAGCAAGCTAGTTGGACAGTGTTCTGCTGTGATCCATACGGTTTCCACTGGCTAATTTTCTGAAGCAGATCGCCAGGACTTTCTTCCTTGTCTGTCATAGTCTGGAAGCTCCGCTGAAACCTGTCCATCATGGGTGACCCTGCTGGTATTTGAAACACCTGTGGCACAGCTTCCAGCATCACAGCAACATGCAAACCACCACAGTACAACACACCGACAGAGAGGCGGTGGGCTGAAAATAGTACCTCAGAGTTGTGGCGATTACAAGAGGTAATGCATCGAAAACTGCTCCGCGAGTTACAGTGGCACACAGGTGTCAGGTGCTATCCCTGCTCCCCAAGTGAGGTGAAGACGGCTTCTGTGCAGCACCCCAACCCTCCACCACAAGGTCTACACTCAGTGCCAGGCACAGACGGCTTTAGAATCGCTGAATGCCACATCTTGGGGGATCTTTGCAGTTCCCTCATTCACATCCCCCACCCCTCCTTTTTTAGGAAAGACTGACGTCCGAGAAGCGTGATGACCTGCCCTGGGTCTTCCATCTCTGGCCACCTGGCTGGGTGTTGCTGTCACGGCCCTGGCTCCGACATGTTGAGACTTGGTGACAGTTACCACATGACCACCCTGTGCCCAGACACCCCAGAATCAGGGTGAGAGTTATGCAAAGCACATTTCAAAGACTATACTCTAACTAGAATCCCCCAAAAGAAAAAGGTAAGAGAACAAAAGGGCGAGTGTGGTGTAAAAAACCTGAGAAATAACATACCAGTTACTAAGTGAGTTTTCAAAGGTTTAAACGTAACCTTGCTTTTATTTGATTTGGTGCATACCAAAAGGCAAACCAAACCCATTGCTGTTGAGTTGATTCCGACTCACAGTGACCCTGTAGGACAGAGTAGAACTGCCCCATAGGGTTTCCAAGGAGCAGCCGGTGGATTTGAACTATCGACCTTTTAGTTAGCAGCCGAGCTCTGAACCACTGTGCCACCAGGGCTCGCTGGTGCATACAAAGGAGGATATTCCCCCAGGAAGGCAGGCTCTGCCTGTCTCCTCTCCAAATGCTCTGGGAGTATTTAAACAGGACTTAGATCATGTCTTTGTTACTTGGAATTTGGCTCTTAAGAACTCTGAAGTAGATGTTTAGACCAGGTGTGGCGTTCAGTCCCCGTGTGGTGGTGGCCTTGTCTGGAGTCTCCAAAGCCCCCAGGTTTGCTTGTGGTTACCATCGACTTCCAGCCCCATTAACTTGCATTTTCTCCAATCAGTGGATTTTCCCAGAGCACCTACCTTAGGTGCTCAGAGACCCCTGGTCAGTGTTTTCTGAAGGTAAGAATGTGCTCTGGCATCTCAGGAATCTGCCCGGAATCTGAGCTCAGACCAGCTAGGTTTTGCCACCCAGGGCAGATAATGTTCTCCCTCAAAGGCCTTTCGCGTGGGCTCCCAGGGTGCCCGTCCTAATGATTCACACAGCCGCCTCAACATCCCTCAGGGGTTAGAATTTTCCCCGGGCCCCTCCTAGGGAGTCTAGCTTGGGGTTAAGTGTACAGGCCCTGGGGTCTGACTGACTGCATTTATATATCAGCCCCACTTCAGCTGTGGCACCTTCAGCAAGTTACTCCCAAGACCTCAGCGTCCTCATCTATGGAATGCGAATAATCACGGCATCATGGTTTTTTCAAGACTAGCTTAGCATCTGGCACACAGTAAACACTCAATAAACATTTGTCGCTATTATTATGAGTAACCTCTGCTAAGTGGGCAAGGAAAGAAGGTACAGTTCAAGCTGATCAATTTTGTTACTGATGGATTTGTCTGGGGAGTCAGTTGAAGCTGATGGCAGGAAACGGGTTCTTGGTTTATTAGAGCAAATAATCTGTTCAAGGAATTTTAGGCTTGTATTTATTATCACTTAAAAAAAAAAAAAAAAGAGGATGAGATTGCTGAATAACAGTCCCAGTCCCACTGCTGGGACTTCCCAGCAGTCTTGGGAGAGTTCATACTAAATTTGGAGGAGTCTGGGTTCAGATTCTCAACAAGCACTATGTCCAGGAACAAATCAGGACGCAGCTTAAGAGAGCAAAGTTTCAGATGCTCACGATTCAGGTAGTCCAGCTGATTTGAAGTAAAAGAACGTCACAAAGGCCTTTACAACAAGAGCCCAGCTTCCCCTGTTGGGATACCATGGTGACCTTGACTTGTAAACACTGAGCACTCCCTGGTACTCTGACTTCCTCTCAGCAGCGAGCACTGGGGTTTCCTCTTGGTTTCATCCTGAGTCACCTCCCCCTGTCCCCGCACCTCAGAAGATGATGTCTTCGTGCCGAGGGAGTTCCCTCACTTGTTCCTCAGGCCAGACTCTGTTTCACAAGCCACCTATTGGCCCCAGGGGTTTGAGACCAAGGGAGGCTGAAATCCAGAAGTCCCTTGGTCCTCCCCATGGACACATCTTTGTCACCTCAGCAGCTAGCTCAGTGCAGGGGACATACCAGTTATCAGCAGCCACCAGGTCAACTCCGACTCATGGCAACCCCATGTGTGTCAGAGTAGAACTGTGCTCCACAGGGTTTTCAACGACTGATTTTCCGAAAGTAGATCGTGAGGCCTTTCTTCCGAAGGGCCTCTGGGTGGACTCGAACCTCCAACCTTTCGGCTAGTAGCTGAGCTCATTAACCCTTTGCACCACCCAGGGGCCATAGGAGGCCCTTGATCTGAGTGCCTCAACATGGGGCTGCGGGTGGAACTGCTGTGTCAGCAGACAGGAAATTCCAGGGGCTGGGCGGGAGGTGGGGGGGGCGCTTCAGGAATTGGAACTGGCCAAGCTGCTTGTGAAGGAGGAGAAGCCAAGGCTCATCCCTCACCCCTTCTCCCACTGCCTTGAGACAAGACCCAAAGCTTGCTCTGGTCCCGTCACTTACCCAGGGCACCTTGGCAGATGTCTGTGCGGGTGGCTCCTCCAACAATGAACTGGGGATCAGCGCAGATCTCCTGAGGACGAGATTCACAAAATGCTGTCAGCCCAACAGATGTTCTTCTGCAGTCAGGATGCCTCGGTTCCCCAGGGGTGCACCCGGCCCCTTCTCCCTTTCCCTCTCCTCTGGGGAAAGTTCTTCACAGTCTCGGTCAGAGTTCTGGGCTGTGGTGGCCTTGGTGTCCTTCTCCAGCCCCCAATCCCCAGGGCCTGATGGCAGGTGGGGATGCTACTGACTGAGAAGGGCAGTACTTGGACCACACACACTGCAAGCTGCCTGCAGTCTGCTTCTGTCACGCTAAGTCCTAGTGGCTGTGGTAGCGTCCCATCCAGACGCCCCACCATGTGGAGCCGCCCCCCTGCCAAGCTCGCACCCTCTCCTCGGTTCCGCAACACAAGTTGTTGTTTTGCTTGCATGCAGTTCCTCCCCCTCCCACCCTGCTCCCTCCTCTTCCAGGTCTTACCCACCTGGAGGACAGAGGAGAACTGCCCCATAGGGTTTCCAAGGCTTTACAGAAGCAGACTGCCACCTCTTTCTCCCATGGAGCGGCTGGTGGGTTCGAATCACCAACCTTTCGGTTAGCAGCTGAGTGCTTAACCACTGTACCACTGGAGCTTCCCTTCCACATCTTACCATATCTCAAAGCTCGCTGCCATCTCCTCCATGAAGCCCCCCTTCATAGTCCAGCCCTCACTCACCCCTTGACTCTGATTCCCAGAGCAGCTGTAACTCTGCAGCTCAGTCCTTAATTTGGGCCGTTTTGTGCTGTTCGTGGGTCTTCTCCTGCCTTCCTAATATGCATACACTTGCTGAGGGCAGGAGGATGTTTCTGTGGTTGCTGGTGGCCGTCAAGTCAGCCCCCGACCCCATGCACAACAGAACAAATGCTGCCTGGTCCTGGCCATCCCCAGGATCAGTTGTGGATCGGACCTTTGTGATCCATAGGGTTTCCACTGGCTGATTTTTCAGAAGTAGATCACCACACCTTTCTTCCTAGTCTGTCTGGAAGCTCTGCTGAAACCTGTTCAGCATTATAGCAACATACAAGCTTCCACTGACAGACGGGTGGTGGCTGTGCGTGAGGTGCTTTGGCCGGGAATCAAACCCGGGTCTCCAGTGTAGAAGGCGAGAATCCTATCACTGAACCACCACTGCCCCCTGAAGTCTTCCACACGGCCTAGTGACACTAGGAGCATCCATGCATTGTGCACCTGCTGTATACTGTACAGTGTGCAGGTGCTTTATCTCACGCCACCCTCTCAGGAACACAAGGAGGGCATTATCTCGTTTCAGATACGAGGAAATGAGCTCATGGAGGATAAACAGCGTGTCCAAAGTTACACAGCTCCCAAGTGACAGACAGCACACGTGCTTTCCACTCCTGCACTGCCTCTAATTGATTCCTAACAAGTCCCGAGGGTGTTAAAACCTCAGGGGCAATGGTCCCACCAGCAGCCCGGAGGAAGCCAGCCTTGAACAGTAGGCCCTGACAGCAGGCCTCTCTGCGTGTTTCCTGATTCTTAAGCGTTCCACCCCAAAGCCACAAAGGAAGTCAGGCATAAACCTGGGCTCCTCTTGCCTTAACTTGTATGAGCTGCTCTTACATCTCGTGTCTGCTCTGAGCATCACAGACAGGTGCCACCACCCCACATCCCTTAGTGAGCCCTGTTTGTCAAGCCCTTGTCCACTCTGGCTTACCCTGCAGAGGCTCTTCCTGAACCCTGGTCTGCAGCAGAGCACGTTCCTGTCCTGCCTCTGCACTGTCTCCCTGCTCAGGTCAGCGGGCTTGGGGATGACGGGACAACAAGAATGCTTTTCTGCTGAGGCAAACGAAGCCAGCTTTGCCAAGAAGGTCTGCCACTCAAGCATTTAGCCGGCTGGTGGAATACATGGACCTGGGCGCTGCAAGCCTCTTTATTATAATCATATTGATAATCCTCAGTGTGCCTGGCACTCACCCCAGGAGGATTTTCCCATTATGTTTCAGAAACTTTCTCATGCCTCTGCAGCCTCTCCAGAGAAGTCAGAGTCCAGAGTGCCACACAGAGGTGCTCCAGAAAGCAGAACTTTGGACATAGCACGCAGGGCACTGAATTAAATGTGGGATAAGAGTCAGGGGCCAGGGGCTGAGGGCTGGGGCTTCACACAGCCTGGGTTTCAGTCCTGGCTCTGCCACTTGTTACATGGGCTCTATAAGCCTGGGCAAGCTACTTAACCTCTTTAAGCCTCAGCTTCCTCAGCTGTACAATGGGGATGATGATGACAAGTGTACCTACCACGCAGGGTTGTTTTCAGGTTAAAATAGGTAACTATGTAAACACGCCTTGGTAAGCACTCCACAGATGTTACCTATCATTGTTAATGTTATTATCACCATAGAACACGTTGATGATAATAACCACTGAACCTGGAACTGCGGGTTTGAGGCAGAGTTCAGCCAGCTGGATATGAGCAAGTCCTAAACCTCTAGAGGCTTGGTTCCCTCAGAGGAAAATACCTGCCTTGCTCCTCTACCATCTGTCTGTCAGTTTGTCCCGCTGTGGTGGCTTTGCGTGTTACTGTGATACTGGAATATATGCCACTGGTATTTCAAACACCAGCAAGGTCACCCACGGTAGACAGGTTTCAGTGGATCTCCCAGACTAAGACAGACTAGGAAGAAAGGCCTGGTGATCTACTTCTGAAAATTAGCCAATGAAACCCCTGTGGATCACAACAGAATACTGCCCAGTATGGTGCTGGAAGATGAACCCCCGCAAGTGGGAAAACACTCAAAACACACCGTGGCCATAAGCAATGGACGTGAGCGTACCCACGATCGCGAAGACGGCACGGGACTGGGTAAGTTCCGTTCTGTTGTCTGGGGGATCGCCCTAAGCTGGAGCCAACTCGATGGCAACAACAACAAGAAGCCCTCGCTCCTACCTGACGAGGCGCTGGGAGGATCAGGTGTGCCATCCTTGAACCAGCCCAGCTCTTTCTCCTCTCTGCGCCCCCTGCCCCAGTCCCTGGCTTCACCAGGACTTTAGCCACTTTCGACTTCATCCTCCTTCCCTTCCTGCAGCCACTCTGACCAGTGCTGCCCATGAGACACCGATCCATCCAAGGAAGAGCAGTCCTGCCTCCACCCAAGGCTAACCGCTCCCTGCCCTCCCAGGACCCCAGACTCTCACATCCTCAGACCCTTTGTACGACTATCTGTTCTCTGCCTTTATCTTTAATCCCTTCCTTTCTGGGGCTCCGCACAGAACACATTCAAGGTGCTCTCATCAAGCCCCGGGTCCCTCTCTCCCTACCGTCTTCTCTGTCTCTTTCTACAGGCACACTTCAGCTGATCGCATTCTCCATTTCCACTCCTCACTGTGGGCTAGCCTGACTCCTCAGTCTCCTGCCATCTGGCTTCTACCCCCACCTTTCTGCTGACACTGCTCTGCTGAAGTCACCAACGATTTGTCAACATCCAAATCTAGTGGAAACTTTGTTTTCCTTGCCTGAGCCCGGCATGTTTGAGAAGCTGGGAGAGAGAAGCAGCCATAAAGGCATGGGCTCTAAACACGCATGGGCTAGAAACAGTCCTGGCTCTGCTACGTACACCTGTTTCCTTGAGTGGGTATTTAACCTTTCCAAGCCTCAACTTCTTCAACTGCCGAATGCCCCACCCCACGCAGCAGCCCTGAAACGGCTCTAAATCTCTACTTCCCCATATGGAAATTCTGTGGGCAACTCCACCTGTTGGGTCCCTGTCTGTCTCCCCTCACTAGGCTCCAGTCTTCAGAAGCAAACACTAGATACACTGTGCCTGGCATACAGTATATGTTCAACAAGTGCCTACTGATGAGGGAAAGCACAGTGAAGAAGTGCATGAATTCACTTTGTAAGCTGTCAAGTGCTGTACAAAGGTAAGGTGCGAACATTCTCTTGCTTGCGTATCACTTTTACAACATAACTTCATTTGGGGCCCATGACAATCACACATTCATTCATTCACTCAGTGCACAGAAGGTCATTGTCTATTTAGTGCACTGATGTATCCTGGGCATTTAGGACCGTGCTGAGCATATAGGAGGCATTCAATAAATACTGTTGGATGAATGAACGAATACTATAAAGGGGCCCTAACTGTGCTAAGGAGCCCTCGTGGCATAGCGGTTAAGTGTTCGGTTGCTAACCAAAAGGTCGGCAGTTCAAATCCACCAGTTGCTCCTTGGAAACCCTATGGGGCAGTTCTACTCTGTCCTATATGGTTGCTATGAGTCAGAACTGACTTGATGGCAACGGGTTTTAACTGCGCTAGACACTGGGGATAGATTGGTAAATAATATACACATGTCCTTGCCATTCAGTAGGAAGGAGAAATATTTATATGTAACCGCATATTCCTATGTAATCATATTTACAAATTGTGAAAATGCTATGGAGGAAATTAGCAGGGTACAGCGATCGAGGATAACAAGACGGGGAGGGCCTCCTAAGAATGGTCAGGAAAGACCTTTGGGGAAGGGATATTGAACTAAGTCCTAAAGGATGAAAGTGAGCCAACTCCAGACAACCAGGGAACAGCACCCCAGACATGTGAGAGAATCTGAGGCTTAAAGAACTGGACACATTGGAGAAACAGCAAGGAGGCCAGAGCGGCTGGGCCTGGTGGGTGAGAGAAGAGGAAACTATTTAGGCCCCACCCCTGTTTTAGATGAAGGACTGGAGGCGCGGAGAGGTTAAATGACTCACTCAGAGTCACCCAGCAGGTCAGCAAGAATGAGGACCCAAGGGAACCCCGACTGTACTTGCTGCCCATGGGCCTGACCTGGGAGGCTCAGGGGAATGGAGGCAGGGCAGGAATGCTCCTGCTTGGTCCAAACCCAAACCAAACCCACTGCCATCCAATCGATTCTGACTCATAGCAACCCTATAGGACAGAGTAGAACGGCCCTATAGGGTCTCCAAGGCTGTAAATCTTTACAGAGGCAGACTGTCACATCTGTCTCCGGCAAAGCAGCTGGTGGGTTCAAATCGCCAACCTTTTGGTTAGTGGCTGAGCACTTAACCACTGCGCCACCAGGGCTCCTTTCCTGCTCATTACAGGAATGTAAAGGTTGGGTTTCCCAGGAAGCCTCATTCAGGTGTGGTGGGGGAGCTCCCTGACATGTCCCATAGGGGAAGGCAGGAACCAGCAGGGGCTCCCTGGGAAACAGAATGGACCACTAGGTGCGGGAGCAGAACTTGTCCCAAAGCCAGCCAGGCGCGGAGGACAGAGGCCTTGAGGGCGGAATGAGGGAGCATGCAGGTACCCTAGGTGAGGATTCTGGGGCAGTGGAGTGATGACGATGACAAACTCGCTCCTCGCAGCATCGCCCAGGTCTTTATAAATCACCAGTGTAAATATTACGGGAAGTTTCCCTGGCTCCCCCTTGGAAAATAAACAAGAAACCGACAGACCTACGCACCGAGGCTGCAGGAGACAAAACTCAGTCACAAACCGAACCAGGCTCTGGCCTTGCCCCCTCCCTGACGCGGACAGAGCCGACTTGGAGACTGACTTTGTCAGATATCGCCCCCGCCCCCGCCCCAACCTTCCTATTCTCGTAGACCCGGGTCCTCAATTCACTAAATAAAAGTTTCCCCCAGGCCCCCTCGTGCCACCAGAGTTTTTGCCAAGTCCAAGGGCGGCTCTCCTGGCGGGCCTGTTTTGGGGGTTTGAGGGCAGTAACCCGCCTCCCCCAGCCTGTGACTGTGGCTGGGTGTCGGGCGCCGCAGAGGGGACCGCAGAGCCCAGGAAGCCCAGGTGCCCCCGGGGAGCCTCCCGCACGCCCTCTGCGCGGACTAACGGGCCCGGGCGGGGCAGAGCCCACACCCCGCGCGCTCCGCCCGCGATGTGGCG